TAAATGAGGACATTAATCTGTACTTTATAGGACACCACTTACAATAGGGCTTTCACTAGAATGTGAAGCTCACACTAAAACAATTTATTTACTACTAGACAGGTATGACTTGAAAAAGTCTATTAGTGGACTGCGAATTCCCATAGCTTCCAATTTAATCAAGAGTCTTTTATGTGGCACTTTATCAAAGACTTTACCAAAATCGAAATAAATAACGACAACAGATAGATGGTCATTGCGAAGAGAAGTAAGTAGATTGAGAAACGACAAATGACATGTTTCACAAAAGCGATCTTGTAAAAAAAAACATGCTGGGAAGGGCTAATAACTTGATTGGCTATGCAAAAGCCGGTAATTTTTAGGGCGATAATTTTTCAAAGGTTTTAGCGAGAGAAGGCGTTTTATGGACATCTCGACAGTTCTGAACGTTAGAACGACAGCCAGACTTGAATACTGGAATAATAATAGAAGTTTTCTAATAGTCAGGAAAGAAGCCATTTACGAGGAATACTGAAAAGTGTTTGCTAAGCAGAAGAGGAAAATATTTTAGCTGTTTTATAAGGGAGTGTGTGATATCGTTCGTACCTACTGATTGACACTTAGGAAGATGGTTTATCAGTTTTTGAATACTTTCAGGAGGAAAATTAATGATGTTGAGAGATGCATCAGACAACGGAGCAATAAAAGGGACTGGGTCAGTTTCAATGGTGAAATTTTTGGCAAAGAATGAATTTAACATTTCTGCTTTGCCTGACTCCTCTGTAATGCAGGCATCGTTGGAACTAAGCAAAGGCGGAATGACTTGATGGGATTTAGCAGATTATCTTTCACGAAAGATCTAAAAACTGAGTTAGAGACATTAACTTCATTAATAGTTAAAGACTCTCTACGCCTCTCTCGCGCAAGGCTCATTTCCGAAGCTAATTCATATATTCCAACGATTCATAAGTAAATTGATAATGAGTCTGCAGATTAATAATAATTTTTCATTAAAGACCCGTCGGGGTTCCATCAAAGCAATTAAAAATAAATGTACCTTTGTATTTTAGACGAGATAGGCAGAATCTCTAAAATATGCAATTCATAGTTTCTGAATTAGTAGTCTGTTGAGCGAAAATGACTGGCGAGAGGTGAAAAAAAAACCACTAAAAGTGTAAAAATGATTGGATTAACTTTACAGGAGAAAAAACCCCTTGATATAGAAATAATAACAGAAAAATGCGGAGAGGACTGGCCTGTGTGTGGCGGTATATAACGAATTATGATCGGACATCGTCAGGGCACAAAGAAATTTCAGACTTGAGAGGTACGTATACGGGTCGGGAAGGACTGGCCTGCATGTGTTATTCTATACGGGATCCATAACTAACATCGTCAGGGCGGGATTGATACGCCGGATGAGACTACTCGCGTCCAAGAGGTCAGACACTTCCACAACGTGTGCTCGCTACACGGGCGCTTCCAGTCAACGACCAGCAAAGCCTGCAAAAAGCGTAATTAACGCAAAAAGTGCGAGGTACGAAGACGAGCCTTGTGTTGGGTGCGCTGATATCCAAATCAAAGTAGAACAACTCGAAAAGGAGTTTGCTGATTTAAGGACGCTCGTGAAAGAGACCCTAGACGACCAGAATTTGTCCAGTGTTAGAGTCCCAAAAACGAAGACCAAAACGCAAAAAACGCGGAAAAATATCTCCTCGGGGACATCTCCAAACACGAGCTTCAACTCAGTTGCCAAAACCACAGACGCCGGTAACAGCAGGACAACGAAAACGAAGCCGCCGATACGGGCAAACTCGATTCCCACGCAAGATGTCTTAAGCGATGTCACGAAAAAATTACCTGGTGCGGAAGCCATCTCACCTAAGCCTCTTGTTGTAAGTGAGGGAATTTCTCTTTTGCCTGGAGACGATATACCTTGGTCATCCAGTCTTTTGTCGCTTACTTGTTTTCGCAACAACCCCGAGCGCACTACAGAGCACGTATCTGAATTCGAAGACATGAACGCGTGGGTAGAGGGGAGAGGGAAACGCCATGACAGGAGTCTGAAGTCACAACCAGCCCTGATGCTTTGCTCGGGACAGTCGGTAGACAGCAAAATTGTGCGTCCAAGCGACGACTCCGTAAATCGTCCTCGCCCATATGCAACGAATTCACCGGAAAGACAAAGTAAGGAGGACCATGCTCGCCAGCAGTGTCCGGTTATTCAGGGTTTGTCGGAATCGAATGCAGTCAGACCTGAAGACCGTGTCTCAGAGGACCTTGCTTCTTTTCATGGTCTACTAGATCAGTTACTACAGATAGACATGAAAGTAAAGGTTCTGAAAGCATTCCGGATAGGAAAAAGGGAGCGAAGATAGGACAGCAGCACAAACACCTCGCCCTCTCAAAATTATGCTGAAGTACAAAGAGCAAATCAAGTTGACTCTCTCTAAAAAAACCGACCGCAGAAACACACACAAACAGGTTTTTTCAACCGGACTATTCACCAGCGAAACGGCTGAAACGCCGGGAACTTGTCTTGGAGTTAAAATCAAGACTGAAGAGTGGCGAACACAATCTGGCTATCTTCAAGTGGAAGGTAATTCGGAAATATATGCCGTTTCAGTGGAACCAGTCTGTAATACTAAGAACGACGCAGCTACTCAGCTAACACAGACACCTTCGTTGAACCACCTGCTGAAGGCGGTAACACAAGTGAGTCCGTAACGTCCGAGTTTTGAGGAATCCATGCTGTGCAGCGTTCGTTAGGTTATTTTCAGTTAAGAGACACATCATTTTATATTCGATCAGTGCCTGTAAAATTTGTGAAACTGTGGGGGGGGGGGTTGTTTATTGGTCGAAAATCATCAAATGACATAGATTGACCATGCTTGGTAAAAGGCAAAATGTGTGATTCCTTCCAGAAAGTGTGGTAGGTTCCATTTCCAAGAGTCTAATGAATATCTTGCATAAGAGGGACGCGAAAAATACATTTGCATTCGCTTTTAAAATTCTAACTGGGACACCATCATGCTCCGGACGAAAACGTCGAATCCCTACAATCCCGTTCCATAAGGAGAAAGTTATAGTTTCGAGAACGGCTCCGGTTCAAGCCTAGATGGCCAGAAGAGGAGTGGTCGATTTTTCAATAAAGTTTTTGGACAGGAAAGCATCGGAACTACCAGTGTTCAACTGGACATCAGCTGACAGTTCGACCATCGGTTTCGATGATGTCCACCGTGTGCCCCACAGTTGCAGCAGCAATGGGAGCAGGGACGGTGACTTACGCAGGGATTTATAGTGCCGGTAGACTTGCGTAGCATCTACCTACACTCTCTCCTCCTCCCTCGCCCGAGCCCGGTGTCAATACAGAGTTAAGAAGACCGGAGACGAGGGAGGCCGCAGGTGGATGGCTCGGACGGATCCTCACCTTGGCGTTCCACCACACCCCCTGGTCCACACAACAAATAACCTGGATTTCAATGAACACAAGAGAGATTTGGAGGCTGGCACGGCCGAAGCCGCACCTGGGCGTGCCGCCAACGCCTGGCTCGGATCCCACACTGTGATGGGAGTGCCATAAAGGCCACATTAAAAAGGAGCCATTGCAGCCTGAATCTCAGACCGCCTCCAGTCAAGGAGGAGGTCCAAGTTACCCCGTCAGTTGGCAACCTTCCAAGCCACGGCTTTTAGCGTACCGTGATAGCTTCAAGCGCGTCAGATTGTTTATAGTGAGGAGAAAGTGCGCTGAGTCGTCGACCTCACTCTCCCTTCCCACACCCACACCCCAGCCACTGTCCGAGCCGGTCAGCAGACTGGAGTGGGGAGTGGGCGCGGTAGCTGTCATGGTCGACTGACCATGACTGCGCGCGCCACGGCACGACCTGGCCCCCCATACACAAAACACCAGGATTTCAAACAACGGGGGTTGAACGGCGTGTCTCTCACTTGCGTGAGAGTGCCGTGGAAGGTGCTGCTTCAGCCCGTTCCCAGCCCACCAGTCCGCCACTCCACACAACACACACACAACGCGACGAACTGCGTGAACCGAGAACGGGCGTCAATCAGCAACGTTCCTCTCCACGACGCTTGACGTGTCGGGATGATGACAGTTCGACCATCGGTTTCGATGATGTCCACCGTGTGCCCCACAGTTGCAGCAGCAATGGGAGCAGGGACGGTGACTTACGCAGGGGTTTATAGTGCCGGTAGACTTGCGTAGCATCTACCTACACTCTCTCCT